GTAAACCTCGTGTTTATGGTTTTGAATACTTGACTATGGGTTACGTTCACAGTTCACGGGAAGTAACGTGTTAAATTTATGGCGTAAGCTAACACATACCTAATAAAGATAAAAAGGTCTGTAGTTGCTCTCACAGAATACCAGCGTGAAATAGCTGCTTAATGCTGCTGTGTTTCGTATTGTGACTGTAAAAAACTGAAGACTTTTTTTACTGAAGTGATACAATACTTTTTACTGGGTGACAACGGATCTGCATTTTGATTCTCAATCAAGGATAGATTTAGATATCTATGGGTCACGGTATCCTGTTACCATCAGGTGGACTGTGTACTCTTTTGTCGTCTTTATTCCATAAAAAAGACTGTCACTGTATTGAGGGAAGTGTCAGTTCCTCCTTTAATTCACGGTAGTGAAAGTTGGATGTGTCAGAATATGCATGAGAGTGATGTCAATGCTGTAGAAATGCTGTCCCTGGGAAGTATGTTAGGGTTACTCTAAAGGATAGGGTAAGAAATTGATAAGAGAAATGTGGTGAATATACAAATAATACAAAGTAGTGATAGAACGATACGATAACGATAGTAATGCACTATAATGTACGAGTATTGCTTGTGTATCTATCACTTCTTTGTATATCAATGTAATGTTTTGCGAGCTTCCCTTTAGTGATTTTGCAGCTGATGGCTGGATATAATGGGATTATTAATTTTCTCACGTAACACAAAGGAAGTATATTATAAAGTATGTACACGCCTAAATGATTTAAAAGAGAAGGGGACGTTTCCATATCTTCTTGGGCCCAGGTGTTAACAAGATGAAATTAGGACCATTCGAAAGCTTACCTACAGCTGAAAAATTGGTAAGATTGGTCAATCTAGGAGCTGAGTTATCGTAAAATAAGTAAAAGTGAGGTTATATGTTACATAGTGCATGTATATATATATGTATATATATATATATATATATATATAGTGTATGTATGTAATGGATCACACACGATCAGTTTAACTGATCTTTCCAACTGATCAGTTCACATTAGGCCTGTTGATATTTTTTTAAATATCGAATTTTCGATATATCGATAGTTATAAATAAGTTTATTTATAACTATCGGTGGCTTATAATTATAAAGAAGCAAGGTTCATAAAATAGCAGGATCTGTTTAAAATAAAAAAATCTGTGGTTATCATGAAAACGAAATATTACTACAGTGAATCCTATACCTTTACCAACGAGCAATTCTTGTATATGTATATATATATATATATATATATATATATATATATATTATTTATACATAAACACACTTGCAGGTAAAAAAAGTTGATGCGTGTGCGTCTTAGTGTTTGGAGATTTTATCCAATCTGCTCTTGAAGGCATTCAATGTCAATCACATTTTGTGGTAGCTTATTCCACTTGGTCACAACACGATTTGTTATAAAATTCTTCATAGGATTCCGCTTGGCAGTCCTATGGCAAAGTTTAAATTGATGTCCTCTCAGACGTTTATTTGGCAGAGTAGGAACATATATATATATATATATATATATAAATATTATATTTTTGTGTATATATAATCGGAATCTCGGAAACGGCTCCAACGATTTTCATAAAGTTTTGTGTCCAGGGAGTTTCGAGGGCTATAAATCGATCTAGCTAGAATTTATTTTTAGAAAATGTCTTTTTGTCCGTGTTTTCAGGCAATGAAACACTGCTACTCAGTAGTGGATATCGAACGGTCGTGAAATCGTAATGTTTGGTTCGCGTCCTGTCTTTGGTCCGACTTTATTTATTTATTTTTTTTCAAGTTCCCTTCTTTTTGCGAGAAAATCTATTATTTCGAGCCCTTTTTTATAGTATTTTTAAAAATACGAAAATTTTAATTAAACTAATTAAAAAAAAACCAGTTCAGTTTTTTCTATTATGTCAATAAGATACAAAAATATTATTCATGTAATTTGTATCTAAATGTAATTTAAAAAAAAGCCAAGCAAAGCTTGGTCATCCGGGTACTGTTATTAACAAGTATCAGACCCAAGATCCATTATTTAAATTGTTGTTATTACTGTTATTTGTTGGCATGTTGATGGTTTGTATTTTTTTTAGGTATTTTGTAAATTTCGCAATTCTTTTTTATCAACCTTGCACAAAAAACTTTACCGAAAATTGATCTTAAAATGCTTAATTTATTCGAGAATCAATTATATTTCTCTTGTTTCAAATCAAAAATAGGTCTTTTACTTATATTATGCGAATAGTTTCTAAGTTTGAACCTTCAAGTTTTAAAATGTAAAGACTTTTAGTGTTTGAAAAACGAGAATTTGACTAGTGTGTCGTTCCTTTATTTTAATCGATTTATTGACATATAAATGTTTATTACTTCTTTTCCTTATAGGAATATTGTATTTTATTTCGAATTGGGTTTAAATATCACTTAAAGTAAAGTACCCGGATGACCGAGCTTTGCTCGGTTTTTTCAGTTACATTTATATACAAATTACATGAATAATAGTTTTTGATCTTATTGACATAATAGAAAAAACTGAACTGGTTATTTGAATAAAAAATCGTGAGTGCAATTAGTTTAATTAAAATTTTTGTATTTTGAATACTAAAAAAAAAGGGCTCGAAATAATAGATTTTCTCACAAAAGAAGGGAACTTGAATAAAAAAGGAAAAAAAGTCGGACCCAAGACGGGACGCGAACCACCGAACTCCGATATCACGCCCGAACAACATCCCATCTGAGCTATTACGATCGTTGGTAACCTGTCAAAATTTACCTTCTTATATTGTAGCAGTTTTTTTATTGCCTGAAAACACGGACAAAAGGACATTTTCTAAAAATAAATCCTAGCTAGATCGATTTATTGCCCCCCGAAACACCCTGGACACTAAATTTTATGAAAATCGTTGGAGCCGTTTCCGAGATCCCGATTATATATATATATATATATATATATATATATATATATATATATATATATATATATATATATAGAGTAGTCAGGTATACCTCAATCTCTGAAAACTAAAGTGTACAACCAGTGCGTGTTGCCAGTGATGACTTACGGATCAGAGACGTGGTCCTTCACTGCTGGCCGTATGAGGACGCTCAAGGTCGCTCAGCGAGCTATGGAGAGGGCTATGCTCGGAGTTTCTCTGCGTGATAGACTCAGAAATGAGGATATCCGCAGTAAAACCAGATTGACCGACGTAGCCCAACGGATTAGTAAGCTGAAGTGGCAATGGGCCGGCCATATAGCTCGAAGAACCGATAACCGATGGGGAAGAAAGGTTCTCGAGTGGCAGCCTCGTACCGGTAGGCGTAGTGTAGGGCGACCCCCCACTAGATGGAGTGACGACCTGGTAAGATATGCAGGAAGTCGATGGATGCAGGTGGCTCAGGACCGTGCTTTGTGGCATTACTTGGGGGAGGCCTATGTTCAGCAGTGGACTTGTGAAGGGCTGTGATGATGATGATGATGATGATGATGATATATATATATATATATATATAAGAATTGCTCGTTTAAAGGTATAGGATAACAATATTTTAAAATTTTTTTGGATCCGAATAAATATTTAGGTAATCGATTTGTTTCTTATTTTTATGTTTTTTCGAATTCTGGATTGTAAAAGCAGACAGTTTTTTGTATTTAAATTCAGAAAAATAAAGCCAATTTTTCAAAGTATTGAACCAATTTGTTAACTTCAGGCCCAAAATCCCACTCTCCTTTTAACAAATTCCTTCACAATAAAAATAATGATACTCTATAAAAAATCTGTTTAATGAAAAAGTTTCAGCTTGTCTTCATAAGATGAACTCCACATCTCTACTACACAAAATGTTGATTAACTTTACATTTGGCACTTTTTATTTCTGCAGATTCTTAATTACTGTTAAGTTTTACAAACTATTTCATTAAGGATAATAAACTTGATAATACTCTTCGCATTTTCTTAGAAGAAAAAACATGGACGCGTCGTGACCACTAGTTATGGAGGCGCGAAAACCGCAGTAAGTGCAGCAGCCTGGGGCAATAAACTTTCATAACGATGGCTATGGCGATCATTGATGAGGCGAGAATTTATGATAAGTCTGTAAATGCGTGCCCTTCGAAACTTGAATTTTTTAGGTCGCATTACCTATTCGAGGTATACACTAGAGATCTTTGAAAGTGAATGGATTTAATTTATTCAAATGCTTTCTTTCACGATTTCGTGTTTTAAAAATATTGATAATTTAAACATCAGCATAGATACATTTAAATGAAAATTTATAGTATATGACGAATATATAATTATGCATTATGTGTCTTTACATATGTTAAATGTTTATTATTTTAATTACATATTATTGATAATTTTAATACCCGCAAGTGCTGTAGAGTTCTCAAATAATAATGTTTATAAAATATGCGTTTCTTGGAAACATATCTTTTAGACGAGCGTAATAAATAATTTTGTATTGTAAAATTGTAACAGAAATTAAAACACTAGTCATTAAATGCGAAGTATTTTTTATTTTCTTCAAATATTTCAACTTGAAAAAGAAGACTATGTCCATTTTTTTATGATCAAGAACGGTTCATCAGCTTATTTTTTACTAGGTGGTAAAACTTCTTAACTGCTTAACAGACTATACGGGTAACCTCTTAGCTATTTCTAGCGCCAAATAGTGGCGCTTACACTGCTATGTTCCGAACTGAAGGGTAAGTATAGAGCACCAGTATAATTACAGGCTGTAAGCCATTCCACCTTAGTCCTCAGAGTTGACAACGCATCTATAGCTTTCTTTGTTTAAAGTTCGCTGCAGGAGTCCATGGGGCTGCAGCAGACACTCACCATCAGGAGGTCCGTAGGCTCGTTTGTCACTTCAATCGTATAAAAAAAATTGTAAAGATCATATAAACTTTTTTGCTTATTCCTATTTATAATAAACACTTGAAATGTCCATATTTATTTTGTTTTATACCCAAATTAAAAAAAAAACTTACCAGACACTTCATAGCGCCGTCGTCCTTTTAACTTCTAATTTAAAAATAAGAACAAAGTTTTAGTTGTATTAGTTATTCGTGCGGCAGATGCGTTCTAAATGCGTACGCGTAACAACCGGGCACGTGCGCTGTCGGTCGCGAACTGAGCTGATCGATGAACTTTGTGGTTGCGCCGGCGCCCGGTGCAAGGAGGGTGAGGAGGTTTGTGGCGCCTTGATTGATGCTTTTTTCATTAAAAGGCAATATCACGTCAAGGCAAAGACTTCTGTATCCACAAACGAACTGCAGTATCAACACAAAAACTAACATACATCCATACTTGTTAGTTCAGTGCCTTATCACAATAATAAATAAGGTTACCAAGACAGTTCTATCAAGTGGCTGTGCTATCGGACGGTCACAAATCGAAGGTCAGTGTAGTAATGTTGCAAAGATTCGTCATAGTAGGTTATGTCAATACGGCTTATGGCTTCATCAGCGAGTCATTGCTCAGTAGCAGTGCATTAAGCTTTACAACATAGGTACAAGCGACTAAAATAATACCGACACCGCTTAAACTGTTAATTACAATTACATGCCGATTCGACGTTCGTATATAAACATATTAAAGTGTCACACGGAGAGAATTTGAACCGAGAAACTAACTAAGCGAACTTTATCACAAATTTACCTAAAAATCGGTATAAATAAATATATAAGTAATATCTTAACTATGATGCAACTCTTTAACCAGTCTTCTAACGAAAAGATAGGTGTGTCGGGATCGTATATCAAATGGAAGTCCGTGGTCTCTGCCTACTCATTCAGGTGACACGCGTGAGAGTTTATGTAATTTTACCAAACTATCGTGTTATAGGCGATTGATACAGTACCTTTGACCAATTTTTTTGTTAATCCAATTACCATGTGAGAAGCTTGTGGGAAAGTCTGGGGTAATGATAATAACAGTGGTAATGTCTTATAAACCGAATTTCGGCTGCGATGGCCAGTTTCAACTAGGAGAAGACTAGGTATCTACGCAAGACTGTTAAATTGCTGTTATTGTGGTGCACGAGTTTGTGCGGAAATAAAAGTACACTCTTAAATTCCCATCCTCTCATGGTGTGACTCGACGGCAATCCAACACGAATGGAAAGAGATCGGGCGCAGGATTAACGGCTTTACGTGCTTGGCGGAGAAACATCGCTTTTTCATCGCATTCCTTGGCCCAACTCGGGAACACCTACCACCTACAGCAGTGTGGTTAAGACTAGACTAACGAGGTTGTCATTAAGAAGTTAGATGTAGGTGTGGCCGTGGAAGGAAAAGGGGAGATCTCCCGCCGGGTAAGGTGTTCTGCCCGGGGAGCGGCCAACGCTCCATGTGATAGTTCGGAGATGTTCTATACCTATATACTGTCTATGATTCGGAATTTTGATAGCGTAATTTAGGCTTCGGTGTATTTGGCTTGCGGCGCGACGACTGCGCCGCCACATCACCTCCCTGCTCAGACCGGAGGTCGACAGTGCTTCGTTGCCGGCGAACGTGCAAGTGCCAGTGGATTGCCTTGTAGTCTGCGGTGAGTCGAGAAGAAGGCAAGTAATCTGCGAGAGTGCCGTGAAGCAGAGGCGAGCAGTAAGGCTCAGAGCCGTGCCGAACACTGTATAGCGCAGAGAGTAGCTTGAAGGAACAGGAAGCATTATTATTCCAGTGCTGCGATGAACCTTGTGAAGCTAGATGGCTTGCAGGATATGAATACTGCAGACGATATCTGCTCGGGAGCGAATGGGTGGGGTATTTTATGATGATGATGAAGCTTGAAGTTTCCGAAGGTTGTTGTTTGCGTGTTCAGATCACGTCGGGGTCACCACTGTGGCCGAAGAAGAAAAAGGGGAGATCTCCCGCCGGGCAAGATGTTCTGCCCGAGAAGCGGCCAACACTTCGTGTGATAATTCGGAGATGTTCTATATATACTGTTTATGATTTGGAATTTTGATAGCGTGATTTAGGCTTCGGTGTGTTTCGCTTGCAGCGCGACGACAGCGCCGCCACATAGGTTTCGGTAGTCCTCCACACAATATACCGAAGTCTGGATATATGAGGAAAACATAAACGTTTTTCTCGACGCCCTTATAGCACAAACAAATAGCTTCTGTACAGTATATTAATTTCAATAATATGGCTTTAAATCTCATTTCTTAAAAAAAAGTACTTTAGCCCTATTAGCACCAGGTCACTTTTTATATATATATATATATATATATATATAATATATATATATATATATATATATATATATATATATAGATTTCACGAAAGAAAAATAAAGTATAATTGCTACGCGCAAGCAACTTTTCAGTCCTAAGAGTTTTGAGTCCAAAGCGCTGGCTCGATGCGTGTTGACGCCTTATTTTTCTTCCTCAGGCCATTGAATACCAATGGTGGGCATGTGCTTCTTCTGTTGTAGGGAATATTTGCCTTAATCGTTATGCCTGGCATGCTAATCGCAGTACCCGACATCTCGTTCCTTTGACGCAGTTTCGTTCAATCTCTGTTCAACAGTAGAATTTTCAAGCACTCAATTGTTTTTTATAAATTTTTCATATACTAAGAAGTAGCCGAATGGTGGGCTCGACCGGAGAAACACAATGCTCTTATAAAATACCAGTACCAGCGTAAGCAGCTCAATACTACTGTTTCATATGATGAGTGTAGAGAACCGGAGACCCCTTTTTCGGGTAAGTCCTCAAGGATGACACCGTACGCATCTACATTTTGACTCTTAATCGAGGATACTTGGCATCAGGCGGGCTGTGTGCCCATTTGTCTTCTTATTATTGTAAATGAAATTATATACATATAACATATAGGGTGCGTTTGGCAGAAAAAAGCGCTAGCAAGCGCTTGTAAGCAAAATGGCGATCGTAAGCGGTAAGCGCTGTCAAATCGTAAGTAGCTATTTTCCTCCAGGACACGATGTTAGTTTTAACCGGGGAACCTAACCTAATTTAAATATATGTTTGTAAAGTATTCATATTAAAAACTTACCAATCATGAATTTTAATAACATGTATATGTTTATTCATGTCATTATATTACTTAAAAGTAATATTGCACAAAATAACTTATAAACTCTACTTCAAAACAAACAAATTAAATAAGCAAAATGGCGGATTGTGTCAGCGCTACTCAAGTAGCAATCGTGTTCTGGCCGAAAACTATTTCAGCGCTTATAAGCGCTTGCTAGCGCTTTTTTCTGCCAAACGCACCCATTGAATTATCCAAAAACGCGTCTCAATAAAAAATCTTACCAACTTACTCGTTCATATGAAATTGATTTAACTGCAGCTGTCCAAATATCTTTTTAGGCCTGTATTTAATTTATGAAAGATACAAAAAAATTTACACAAAGTATAATTCCGCCATCAGATAAGGCGTAGGACAATGCTCTTTACGATTTCGGTTATGTTAACAGAACAGTTTCTAGGTCGGTGTCTAACGCTCTCTGTGATGACACATTTGTTTGCTTTATATGATCATTGCCCTAATGATATCATATTAGAAAGTTGCTTCTTTTATTTTGCTAAAACAATGCTATGTAAATATTTAAAGAATATATATATTTTTTATACTATTATATATTTGGAATCCTTTCCTCGTTACACTATTTAATGGGTGTTAGTGTAAACACCGTTATCCTTGAAAACAGTGGTTTAGTTTCACTTATAGAACGTAAATTCAATGAAAAATAACAAAATTTTTTGTAAAATCTCAATTTTCCCTTAATTCCTTAATTTTTGCCTGTCCTAAGCCAGGATGAAAGTATGAAGGAAAAGTTACATCACAGGTTATGGGTACCTATTGTGTTTTTATTGGAATGTTGTGTAGGTAGCTAGGGCGGGCGGTGATCATTACAGTGATTACGTCACTCGGGCGCATAGGGTATCCATGAATTTACAGACGGTGTCTGACAGAAACTTTTTAAAATAGCGTTTTTTTTAAATTCGGACAAATATTTTTATATTAAAGCCAACTACCTATGGTTTTAGTGACAACGGTGTTTACACTTACACCTTGTATATTAGTTAAACAGGTACGTACAAAATAATTCTGACGTATAAATAACTAAAACCGTTACCGTGTAGTGGCGGTGTTAGAATATCCATTGCTCTATACCATCCTGTAGGTATCGTAAGAGGGGACAGAGTGCAACTGTAACAGATGATGGGTAGGAGCATCTTCCTGATTACAACTCAAAACAATAAAAAACTGCTGTTGCCAGCCCGTCTGCCAAGCGTGGCAACCATAGAATACTATAATTACAACATACATAATAGAACGCGGGAGTGGGCACGTCACTTCACACGTATAAATGTCAACACGAGATGTGTTTTGACGTCACAATCGTTTCCAAATTTCGCAAGCAAATTATTTAGAAAATACCAAATTGCACGCTATTTACAAATAAATATGTATTAAAATCTGTCTGTAAACCCAGCGGATCGGGTTTGTAGTAGTGATATTACGACGTAATTGCTTGTATGTGTGCTTCCAGCGACGCTTTAATTCGTACAAAATAGTGTTGAGAGCCATTCTATTGTGAATAATAGTATTCTATGGTGGCAACTATGGATGGATGCATGGATGGATAACCAAAATGCTTAAAAAGGCAACCTTTTCTAAAATTAAAGACACCAATATAGAATTCTTACAACAGAAAGAGTGGAACGGAAATCCTAATGTTTTGTTTTCGTGCACGATTTGATGATTTGTACCAAGCCATTAATAGAAATAAAAAAGCTTTAATAGTACCAAGTATAATATTTCATAATGCGTAATTTATTAAATTAACGATAAAACCTAACCAAATGTTCCTTGTATTCAGTACTCTGTGTTTATAGTCTATGGAAGTTATCAAACAAACAATATTATGAATGTTACATTAAAAACGCTTCAAAATTTTTCCTTTTTCTTAGAAAAAAGATATAAAATGATTTTAAAGAAGTTTATAAAATTAAAAATTTTGTACAACTGACTTTAATATAAATAAAATAAGAACATCATCAATGTAGTCGAAGTCAATTAAATACGCTTTATTAAGGATAACTCGAAAACTACTAGTCAAATTTTGATTAAGTTCTAAGGTAACACATATTTAAAAAAAAAAACAATCGAATTGAGTACCTCCTTTTTTGAAGTCGGTTAAAAAAATTAAGGCAGCTTGGGTGCGGGCAGAACTTGAAAAAAAACAACAACTAGTATTGATGTGTACAATTATATTGCAAGAACAAACATCAGTGAGAACTGTACAATAAATAAATTCAAAACGAACGATAACAGAAGGTCAAGTACTAACTAAATAAGAAATAGGTCTTCAAGCGTTTTTTATACTTCTGTGGACTATTCGCTTATGCCTGCTGACGCAACCGGCCGTTCTAAAAGTTTTTCCACACTCCTGGCAAGTGAATGGTCTTTCGTCTGTGTGGGTTCTGTTATGGACCTTTAATATGTCGAGGGTATTAAACCGTTTCCCGCATGTTTCGCAGCCATATTTCCTTTCATTAGCGTGGTATACAAAGTGCCGCCTATACTGTGCTAAAATGTGGAAAGTTTTACCGCACACTTCGCACGTTTTCCTCGGCGTCGGATTGTGCACAGCTTTGTGTATTACCAGACCGCTTTTAAACTTAAATTTCTTGTCACACAAATCGCAAGAGTAGGTTTTCCCTTTCGAGTGCGTGTCTAAATGACTGACGAGATTTCTCGTATGCTTGCCACAAACTTCGCAAACTTTCCTGTAGTCGTATTTCAGTTTGCGTGGTTTCTTCCTCTTTCTGTGTACCTCTTTTTCGCGTTTCACTATCGCATTTGATTTTCTCTTTGCCAAGACCTGAAATTTGTCGCACTGCGTAACCGTCAGCTGTTCTTTATCTACTTCTTCGTGCATATCGTCAACAGTTGTGTCATTCTCTTCTGCTAACAATTCAATTTTTATAGAATTGTCATTTGGTATACCTTTGTCTCTAAATTGACGATCTGCTTCCTGACATTTTCGTCGAAATTTATAGGCGTTTTCTAACTCTGTGACACAACTCATACAAATATGTGAAGGTAAACTATCTCTCTTTTCCACCTGAAATAGATATTTTAATTACATCACTAATATTAACATCACTTATGGAACAAAAAATTAAATGAATATCATGAAAACGTTAACATTGATTTGATTGTTATTTGTTTTAATGCCTTTTAATTATAAAAGCTAACTGTTCCAATATTTTACTTTTGGCAGATGCCAAGGCAGAAAATACATAATTGATTTCAAATAAGGTCATAAATAAAGCAACATACATTCATACATCAGTTACCGTTGTTTCTGAAACAACGACCAATTGATAACGATAGATGACGATTTACTACGAAACGTATTTAATGGCAATCATTCATTTAAAATATACTAACTATTCCCTGCAACTACATCCGCGTGGAATTTATCAGATTCGGACTTCTTCGATTTTTTTGCGTGAGGTACCCCAAATCTTTTTCTAAAATAAAAGTAGGATAAGTTACTTCCTATAACATCAGCTATTTACCCGTGAGTCCTGTCTAAATTGGTCTAGCCATTCTGATTACCCGGAACAGATTTAACAATGTAAATGTAAATTTTACAACTTTTTTTTTATTTTTCAAACAAGATTTAACAAATTTAAAAAAAATAGTTTTACAAAATTATTATAAATACCGTTTAAAATTTCATATGCATTTAGTAAAATGCTTTATTTTGACATTACAGTCACTTCAATTTTATTTATTTCTATAGATTATGGCGTTTTCGGATTATTTTTCCGATAATCACCTATACGATAGAAGTCTTGAAGACAATGGTAGAGAAGAGACGGTAGATAAATTTAATCCGTCTAATTACAAAATAAGTTATTTTTATTGTTTCGTGTTTAAACTATGGTTTAAGAAAAGCCCAAAGAAGTCCTTAACCCGCAGTGCCAGTCTTCGCCGAAATTGACATTAGATGTCAAGTTCTAAAGTTTACATTTTAATTAGCGTATTTTCCACGTGAATGCTTTATTTCATTTGCTTTATTGCAGTGCATCAGACTCTTATTTAAACCTGGGACTAATCATAATCTAATTTTTGTATTAAGACGGAATGTATGCACATATTCTTGACGTTCCAAATCATACAAAGAAATAAATAAAAAGTCACCTCAACTCCTCCTATAAGTTTCAACTTGAGCGCTAAGTCGACACCTTCCTCATCTTTTTCTTCGAATACGTTAACGCAGCCCTCTTCGTTCGAACAAGACCTGCACTGGTTTCCATCCCCATATTCATACTTGGGCTCCACTTGCCACATTTGTTTCAAATCAAGCAGTTTTATATCGTCTTCAAAATCATCATCAACTGCCGTCTCATCAATCTCTTTTTGGGCATTTTGACTTTCTTTCTGTGTTTCATTTTCGAGGTCAAAATACTGTGAAACCGCGCCGTAATATGGCCATTGTTCGTTCAGTAGTCCTTTATTTGCGAATTTTTGCTTCCACTGCGAATGAAGTTTATTATTATAAGAAATTTAAGGAACTAAATCGTTCAGTAATTATTTACAATAAAATATTAAATATTGTTGGAGAGTGGCTGTACGACGTGTAGTGACGTTTTATACGTAGTAGAGCCATGTTGCAGTTATAACTAGTAGTATAGTTGTAGCACGAATGGGTCGGCTCGACCGGGGAAAGACCGCGCTCTCACAGAATACCAGCGTAAAATAGTAGCTGAATGCTGCTGTTTTTCGTAAAGTGAGTGTAGAGAACCGGAGACCCTTTTTACTTACTCTTCACGGGTGACAACGCATCTGCATTTTGATTTGTATTCGAGGATAGATGTAGATGTCTATGGGCCGCAGCAACCACTTACCATCAGGTGGACTGTGTGCTCGTTTCTCACCCTATACTATATTTAAAAAACAGTTTCGGTGAAACCATTTTTATTATTGTAAGATTACATGAAAAATCAATTGTTATTATTTTAATTTATCCTTATAATTTTTAGTAAGCTTTCAAAAAAAAAAATTAAAAGCCATGCTATTTCTCTACTCTTCTGTGCGTGTGTATGTGACTGAACTCATAAACGGCTGGACCGATTTCGATGAAATTTTGTGTGTGTGATTAAGTTGATTCAAGAATAAATTAGATTCACAATCGAGCCCGGTAGGTGGCGCTGTTGTTGAGATCCAGAAATCACTCGAGCGAAGCCGGGGCGGATCGCTAGTATCCTAATAAACTTAAAATTACCCAAGAAGTAAATATACACAATCTATATGCGTTCCCCCGCTAGGCACAGATCTCCTCTCAAACAATGACAGGTCATGGAGCGGTTAGTCAGTTGAACTGTGTGTTAGACATGTGACACACTTAAAATTATTGATGATTCATTCACCTGTTTTTGAATGTTCCGGTATAACCAATCACAAACAATTAACGGAACCTTTTTAACTCGTGATTGGTGTGCATTGAGAATGAATCGAAAACCGACCGAATCCCGAATGATATGAATGAATTGTTTTTAGTGTAAGGTACTGGAGCCCGAAATGATCCATTTGAATTATCGATCCGAATGTACCGGTACGCGTAATAAAATGTACTAGAATGATTCGGTCACGAAAAATGAATGATTGACACACGTCTATAGTGGGTCCTTTCTACTACCCTCTAACCTATTTCTGCTACTAAATAGTGCGTGCTCTGCTGTGTTCCGGTCTGAAGGGTGAAGAGAGCCAGTATAATTACGGACTGTGAGGTATTCCATCTTAGTCCTCACAAGCGACAAAGCATCTGTAGCCTTCATCATTTAGAGTTGGTTAACTATATTTTATAAAAAATTGTCAGTCGTAGGACTGCACGTCGGACGTGAAAACTTCTTCCCTCACAAACATATATACACACATATTTGTATATATGTATCTGAGCGTGACGGTCACGCGAGTTCAGTGCTTATCCTAAAAATGCCTTAAGAAATTATCCCTCAAAAAATATTTTATTTCTCAGTCATGCAGATTTCCTCCAGATGTTTTATTTGTTCGTCATGCATTTGGACATCACTTAAAATTGCAACTTACAATTTAATTAATACTGTAATTGAATTCTCATTGCCCGCCTACTATAACATCTAGGGCCAGAACCCTGTGTTACCACGGCTCTTTTGCGGAAAAGACAAAAAAGAATTAGCATTAGGTAGTTATAAAGTAATAAATTTATAATATTTCAATGGTTAAATCATAAATCATACCTTAAACGTTTTCAATAGATGTGTCCAAATCTCCGGTATCTCCAGTAAACTGTGGTCCAGAGGTATGCCTATATTACGCAGTTTCTTCTCCACTTCTCTAAAAAAATATTAAAAATTTCAACTTAAATACTAACAACAGCATTACCTAGCACACAACTGATTACCCATCCTTAGGCATAGGTACCCAAAACTCAGTCAACCACAATAGTCGCAGCAGTCGGTATTAAGGTTAGCTATGACAAATTAATAAAAAAAAACTAAAAATCATGTTTCTAAATCAAGATATGAAAGGGTAGCTGCTGTTGTGGAAAATACTAATTTCCATTCTTGTTTTACGAAGCTTTAAAATTAATAATGATTCATTGGTATAAAAAGCAATGTAGCCCGTAAAATTTTTATTAACCTGGCAATGAACTGGAGTTATAAACGATGTATTAGGTATTATTAATAACTTTATTCATTACAGCCTATCAAAGTCAAAAAGTAGGTACTAAGGCGAAGTTAACGCCCTGAGGTGTTTTATATCAGTCAAAATCAATGTTGGAAGGGAAAAACACTTATACCTATATAAAATTCAAGAACTTAACCATACAAAAAATATCCCATCCCCAATCCAGTTTGTTTAAAATACACATTTAATGCATCGTAAACATTACAATACGTGAACTCGAAGGTCTAATCTTATATCATGATATTAAACAGTTTAAAATACGTAATTGCTGACAATGAACTTCGAAGAAGAGAGTCTTCCTTTATTCTGTTTTGTTCTAATAATAATAATTCTGTGCCGCTGAAGAAGCATTTTCTTTGTTTCACTTACTTAGGCACGAAGGAATATTATAAAATAGTGAAAAATAAATAAAGAGTAAGTAAGAGATAATTTTTCAGATTGACATAATAAATGTACAATAAAATACAGATAAAAATTTGAAAAAATATTTGGATAAATATGAACAAGCAAGACTTTTAATATGCAAGACACATAATGACATAACCCATTGTTATATAAATGCTGTAAAAATTGTTTTCTTTCTTTCACCATTCCCATAACTTTTAAAACAATGTATATAAGTACCTATTTCATTATTTTATTTTTTAATATTTTTACTTATATCATTCTTTTATCACAATACTGCAATACAATACAGCAACAAGGTGATGATATGGCCCATTGGCACCTACATATTATTTTGGTACCTAACTGTCCTAGATTAAGAATCAAAATGAATTGTAACCAACAACAGTCCGTGGTTCTATTAGCAAAACGACATACAGCAGCAACATCAAGTTTACGTATCTTGAAGACGTAGTGGTGGTGTAAGAAAATCCTACCCCTATCTCTTGTGGATGTCATAAGAGGCGACAGAGGCTATAAAGCAGTAGATGGGCAGCAGCGTCTTTCTAATAACAGCTAATAATAAAAAACTGCGGTTGCCAACTCGCCTGCCAAGCGTGGCAACTGTGGCAAATATCTCCCCCCCCTAGGAGGCAATCAATGAGGGCCTAAAGGAGGCCTTCTATGTATAGCATATGTGTATGCTATACATAGAAGGCCTGGCCATGGATGTTTGATAGACTGTAATAGAACGGTAATGGATTCTCAGATCTCTTGCATTTTTGCCGGTCGAGCTGTCCATTCGGCTAGACTGCACATGGCCACTAATAAACTTTCGTTCTACGTTGTTATACTAACGTACCGTATAAATAAGCAATTGGCAGACATGTTTCGAAAGTTCAAATACATGTCAAATAAATCTCGCAAGTCGAAAACTAGCTAACTAGATTTTTGTCCTAGCTTCTTATGGTCAGAGCAACCAATATGGAGATACGGACCTGAGACCAGCCCATTAATATTATCCATTCAACGAATAAGCACAAATTTTATAGAAAAAGAAACATACTTAATACAGACCAGAATACAATTATGTATGGCTAGTATCAACACATCGTGAATAGAAGAAATAAAGCCCGACTTCAAAATTATTTCATTAGTTTTAGTCTATTTAAAGTCGGTATTTACTTTTTATTAAAAAAATTGAACAAAATCAACTTAATTTAACAAAAATAACTCGTACACCAATCAGTTCACCTTTAGAGGTAGAATTTGAACACCGAAGTTAAACGTATGCAATAAAAAAAGAATTTTTTGACGTAGTTAGTTATCTCGCACAAACTGTTTGATGAATAAATATGTAAATCCAAACTTTAGGAAGACAGTCTCTCGTAACATACCAATGGACACGTGTGAATTGTTGTCAATCAATCAAATTAGGAATCAAGTAAGAAACTAAAAAATATTGCATTATTTTATAACCAAACAAAGAAGTTTTTTCGAAGAAGTCGTTCAAAAAACATTTTTCTAAATTTCCGTTTCTAAATCGCTAGATATTGGCTTCACTTCATTCAGCCTAATTTATGAAGTAATTTGGAGTTGAAATGAAAATCATACATTTTTGATAAAATAAATGCAATCTCTTAATAGCAAAATAGGCTTTATAAATGACAATCTTGAAACGGTTTCAAATTCAACTTTGAAATAATTTTTTTTACATGCCGATTTGAGAATCTCCTTCTTTTTTAAAAGTCGACTAAAAACTGTAGCGTACATTTTGTTTTTCAAAACCGAGCAAAAGCAATTTATGCTTAACTTAATTAATTTTTTCGTTTTAAAATTTACGTTTACCTTTTTTACATAATACAAAACAACGACATGACACAGAACAGGTTCCGTAAAGTGTTTACATCACGCACGTTTGCATAAATCATATTAACCCATTGTTTCTTAAGACCAAGAGAGATAAATTTCTAGACCTTTTTGTTGTCCCTCTAAAATAACTGAATATTCTCTTAGCTAGATATGGGTAATTCGTCTAGAATCTAGTCATTTATCTCTTTGTCTCGGATGAACTAGGTCGCGTAAATTTTGCTTATCTTTTGCCACAGCAAACACGCCGATTTACATTAATGTGGATAAATGTAATTAATTATGTATTAATAATTTCATTTTTTTAAACTAATAATATTAATATGTCCTTAGTCAGACTAACAAACAACAAGTTATTTTTTTAGCCTGTACCGTATCCTCTTATCCTAAATGCTCAAAGGCTTGATGCATTGGCTGCATTAGACTGAAATGTTTCACACATTAATTATAAAACAAGTTCTAATAGGTCGGGGAAAAAGTTTCTTCATATTTTGTTTGTATAAAATGAAATAAAAATTTCTTTGGTTGTACTGTTTGTATCTGGGTGGTTTTGATATCAACATACAGGAAATTAAAAAAAATTAAAAGTAAAAAACACTTCGCGCCATTTTCAATTGTTTTTCTGTCCACCAAAAGGAGTTAATCTAGCGAAGACATTTTATACATCCTGATTTTTTATTAAAAAAAGGGAAAAGATGTGACTCTAGCCGCGAAAAAAATTGTGACGTTTATAGTGTCAGTAAGAGTAGCACAAAATTGGTTAAAGCGTTTTCAGTCAGATTCAAATTTGATATCAAAGATGCAGGCAGCTTCCTCTGGTCACCCTCATGCGGATAAAGTCGATGGCATTTTTGAAAAAGTGGAGAAAGATATTAGTAGTAATTGAGGATTGATCACAAAACAGTTTTAACCCTTTCAAAAAGTCTGTCTACATAAAAAAGTCTATGTTTGGTTACCACAAGAGGTCACTGAAAGAAACCTAATGAATCGTGTACTCATTTGCGATTCTCTATTGAAACGTAATGAAATCGAACCATTTTGGAAAAGATTGATCACTGTTTTTTTATATAGGAGAGGGGGCAATCGGGCAGACGGCTCACCTGATGGTAAGTGATTACCGCCGCCCATGAGCAACTGCAACACCAGGGGAATTGCAGGTGCGTTGCCGGCCTTTTAAAAGGAGTTTTCATGAAGGTCCCCAAGTCGTGTCGGTCCGGAAAAATCTCTACGAAAGGGTTTTTTTAGCGATTAACGCGCAAGCTTGTGACTTCTGGGGATTAAACTGGACTAGATTTAGTCGCCCCCAGTCCGAGAGTTTGTTCAAAAAAGTTTCGACTTCAGACACAAGTTTCTCCCGGTACTCGGCGACGTTTTCACGAGAAATATTGGAACGGCGGGTGTATAAAGCATCACCAGTGCTGTCGTCTGCATAGCAATGAATGTTAATGGTTTGCAACATTTCAATGATATGCAGAAGAAACAGCGTTGATAGCATGCAGCCTTGTGGAACACCAGCGTTAATGGGCTTGTAAATCAGAGTATACACCATCTACTACGACCTTGATGTTCCGATCAGCAAGAAAACTGGTGATCCAATTGCACAATTTCTCGGGAAGCCCATAGGAAAGAAGCTTCGTAAGAAGCGCTTTGTGCCAAACCTGATCGAAGGCCTTCGCTATGTCCAAACTAACGGCCAACGCCTCCCCCTTGGACTCTATTGCCTCCACCCATTTATGAGTTAGGTAACCCAGAAGATCACCAGCCGAGCGACCGCGACGGAAACCGTACTGGCGGTCACTAATCAGCTGGTGATCTTCAAGGTACCGCATGAGCTGGCTGTTAATAATGGATTTCATTATTTTGGAGAACAAGAAGGTGATAGCAATAGGCCTATAGTTGGGCGGATCAGAGGGGTTACCTTTTTTTAGGGATTGGGTGCACGAGGAATGCCTTCTATGATTTCGGTACTACGCCGAAGGAGTAGGAGTACCGGAAAAGACGCGTTGAAACAGGTGCCAACTCTGAAGCACACGTCTTCAGCACAATAGGAGGGACGCCATCCGGCCCACTCGACTTGTTGACGTTCAGGGAGGGGAGTGTTCTGCGCACTAAGCGTTGGGTAAACAGGACATCCTGCATGGAGCGCTCACTCCGCGGGATAGTCGATGGTGTGTTCCCCCCATTATCAAGAGTCGAGTTAGACGCAAAGAGGGAGCCCAGCAGATCGGCTTTGCCCTTTGCGGCAAGAGCCAGTGAGTCGTCCTTCCTGTCCAGAGATGGGAGAGATGGGACGTTCCCTTGGACAGCCTTGGCGAGAGACCAGAATGCACGTGTTCACGAAGGAAGATGAACTAGTTTCTCGCCAATTCTGCCGATGTGCTCTGACTTTGCCT